GCAGAAAGTCACCTCCTCCCTGGGGACAAAGCGGCCGTGCCCCCTACGGTCCAATCCCCATCGGTCCTGTGACCTAGATAACTGAGACGGAGACTCGGCTTAAGTGTCCAGAGGCGCGTTGGTCTTACCCTTCCATTGCCATCGCCCACCTGTCCCCAGAATGTGTTGGCCAAGGGGACCGATGCCAAGTTGGACAGCTTCTGTACCCTCCCCCACTGACATCCTGGGAAGAAGGGGGTGTGTCACAATGCTTTCTATTTGTGGTTCTCCTGGGGAGGGCGTACGTGTTAGGATTTTTTTTTTGGGCATCTGCGAGCCGGGAGTCACGAGGCGTCATGTCTCTGATTCAGGCTCAGTACCTCCTAGGGATCCTTTCTCTCGTTCCCTACCGGCCCTCATCTCCCCCGGTCTGACTTTGTTTCCTTTCAGCCTCGCCCCTGTCCTTTTGGGCTCTTTGTGTGACTGCCTTCTTTGTCTCTATCTGGCCGAAATTCTCCTCTTCCTTCTCCTCCCTACCCCAGTTCTGAGAAGCCACCAGCCTCAAGGGCATTAATGTTTCAGGTGTGTAGGACAGTGGGCGTGGCGTGGGTGTGGGTGGGCTCTCAGCATGCCCAGAGATGACTCCAAACACCCCCTTACGTGAAGCAATCATTCTTATCGATGACATTGAAAGAATGGTCCTGTGGATGTGGGGATGGCCCGGGAGCCCCTGCTCCTGGAGTTTGGTCCAGGATATGCCTGAACTACATCTCCCACCGTGCCCTAGAAGCTCGGGCTTCTGCCTCTGCCTAAACATCCTATGGGAGTTAGTTCCAAGGTTCCAGGTTATAGAGGGTGCTGTACTGGAGTGTGGAACAAGATGTATGGATCCAGCCCACAGCTTGGACTTGTCCAAGAGTTTCTGACCTACCTTGTTCCCAGTACTCACCTCACATAGGGTTTAGGGACCCCTTCCCCCTCTTTTTTTTTTTTTTTTGGCAGTACTGGTGTTTGAACTCAGGGCCTCACGCTTTCAAAGGCAGGTGCTCTACCACTTAACCCACTCTACCAGGCCTGTTTTGTGTTGGGTATTTTTGAGATAGGGTCTCATGAACTATTTAACCAGGGCTGGCTTCGAACAATGATCCTCCTGATCTCTGCTGATTAGCTAGGATTACAGGTGTGAGCTACTGGTGCCTGGAGGGTTTAGGGACTTTGAAACCTTTGCTTATGCCCCCTTAAAGGGAACAAGGGAGAGGGAGTACCTGAGAAGGAAAGGTGAGAGAGAAATTGGACAGTCCTTTTTTTCCTGGTAACTCCCCAGCCCAACATCTCATCCCCCAACCCCCAACCAACTGTTATCTGAGATATTGAAGAGCCCTTTGAAAACAGTCTTCCTCTTCTGAAAGCAAGGGAGGGAGGCCTGCCTTATGACTTGAGTTAGGAGGGGTGAGTTCTAGTTACAGCCTGCTTTGCCCCCATGGGAGCAGTGGGGTATTGCTGGATTCACCACTGAAGTGCCAGCTTGTATTTTCCTGGGACCTTGGTTGGTTCAGATTGTCTGGTGATGCAAATGAGAGCCAAGAGGTAGCTTGCTCATCTCTGGGACCCATGGTCCTCAGAGCACATGCTAGGAGTCTGGCACTTGGGCTGGTCCCAAGTGTGCAGGTCTGTATATTGGTCAGGGCAGAATGGGGGCTTTCCTATCTATCTCTGGTTCTGGATCAAGGTAGCCCACCTTGGACCTTTGACCTCTGCCAGGGACCCATTAGTTCCTGTCTGCACTCTTCAGGCTGGGTTTGGAGACCCAGCTAAAGCAAAAGAGGTCTCTTCTACTGGTTTAGGAGGCAGGGAAGTTTAACTTTTAACCTGGCTCTGCCCAAAACTCCTTTTGGACCAGGTTTTTAACCTCCTGGAGCCTCAGTATTCTTCCTGAGAAAAAAAGAGAAGGTTGAACCTTGGGTCTTCACACCAACAGTCCAGTACTTGCTAAAAATTCTCTGAGCCTGGATTCCCCTTCCCTGTGATGATGCTGGTCAGATGCTACTTCACCCAACCTGGGCTTCCCTGGGAGAGTCTTGGCACTGGAATAAGAACCACATAAGAAAGAGGGAGCAGGAACTCTTGGTTTTGAAGATTCTTGTACATAGTAAGCATGATGTATTTACATAAGCTGTGTTTATGGTATAGAAGTTTAAATCATCCCTGAGCAGGGTGTGGTGGCTCACACCTATAATCCCAGAACTCAGGAGACTGAGGCAGGAGGATTTCCAGTGCTAGGCCAGCCTGGGTTACATGATAAAACACTGCCTCAAAAAGGGGGACAGGAGTGGCTCTCACCTGTAATCCCAAATACTGAGGAGGTAAAGATTGGGAAGATTGAGGTTTGAGGCCAACCAGACCAAAAAGTTATACTCTATCTCAATCAGTATGCCCAGCTTGGTGCTGCTCACCTATCATCCTAGCTATGTAGAAAGTCATAGGTAGGAGTACTGAGATCTGAGGCCAGCCTGGACAAAAAAAAAAAAAGCAAAATAACTAAAAATGACAAGTAACTAATGTGCTGGGTGCCCATGGCTCATGCCTGTAATCTTAGCTACTTAAGAGGCAGAGATCAGGAGGATTGTGGTTTGAAGCCAGCCCCAGACAAATAGTTTGTGAGACCCTATCTAAAAAAACACATCACACAAAAAAAGTTGGCAGAGTGGCTCAAGTGGTAAAAGCGCCTACCTAGCAAGTGTGAGGTCCCAAGTTCAAACCCCAGTGCTGCCAAAAAACAAAAAACAACAAAAACCAAACAAACTAAAGCAAAAAAAAAAAAGGGCTGGGGACATGGCTTAAGTGATAGAGCCCCTGTCTAGTAAGTGGGAGGCCCTGAGTTCAAACCTCAGTACTGCAAAAAGAAGACTGAGGAGGAGGAGAAGCTGGAGGCTCATGCCTGCAATCCTTGCTACTCCAGAGCCCTATCTCAAAAAATACCCAACACAAAAAAGGACTGGTGGAGTGGCTTTGGCAGCAGAGCACCTGCCTAGCAAGTAGGAGGCCTTGAGTTCAAACCCTCAAAAAATGGAGTATACCCCAAACACCCCTTGGTAGTACAGATAATCCCCTCCCTCAAACCTGGGTCACATTTTTGTTTTCAAAAACTCCAGCCAAGCCTGGCATGGTGACTTACACCTGTAATCCTAGCTATTTGGGAGGCTCAGATAGGGAGGATAATAGTTCGAAGCCAGCCTGGGCAAATAGTTTGAAAGACTCCCATATTCAAAATAACCACAGCAAAATGAACTGGAGGCATGACTTAAACAGTAGCGCACCTGCTTTGAAAGTGTGAAGTCTTGAGTTCAAACCCCACTCCTACCCCCCTCCCTGGAAAAAAAGTCCAACCAAGCTAATATTCCCACAGAGTAGCTGGCTTGTGTCCCTGAGGATGTTGGTTAATGAGGTTTAATGCAGGTAATGTGAAGGGAGCATTATGATTGGCTGAAGAGAGGAGGGGGGTTCAGTTGGTTAATTTGGTTGGTCTGGAGGAGACAGGTCTGGCATGAGGAATCATCAGGACTTGGGAGGGGGGATTTCTCTTTGGCTCCATCTCTCAGCAGGGAAAATAAAAGAGCTGGCAGTTTGGGGTGTCAGATCTATAGGGGACTAACACGAAAGAAAGACACTGAGGGGCTGAGGAAGTAGCTCAGTGGTAGAGCACTTGCCTAGCACCTATGCACAAGACCCTGGGTTCAATCCCTAACCGCACACACACACGCACACACACACAAGACTTTGAGGAATAGGTAGGGCAAAGAAACTCCTGAGTGAAGAATGATGCAAAGAATACAGAAGAGCCTCTGCGCTCAAACTCCAATATAAAAAACAAAACAAAACAAAAACAGGAAGAGAGGTTTCCTTTTCTTTTTTCTTTTTGGCTGTACTGGGGATTGCACTCAGGGTCTTGTACTTGCTAGGCAAGCAAGCACTCTACCACTTGAGCCATGCCCCAGTCCAGGAAGAGATTTGAGATTTTTAAGATGAATTGGGGCAGGGGCAGAAGAGGGGGTAAGTGTAGTTATGGTGGACATTTTCTTTCCTGGACCAGCAGTGTCCTTTTCAAAATTACCACCTAGCCCTGAAATGGAGCCCAAGTCCCTCTAAGGGAGGAGAGAATAACCTCAAGCAGGAAGAAAGAAAGGAGGTTTTGATTGTCCTACAAGGAATAGCTTGACATTTTCCAGTGGAACCGTTCATCGGCCCACTCAGTCTCCTGTGTATGTGGTAGTGGTGGTGGTGAGGTCCTAGTGCAGCAATATGGAACACACTTGGGGTCTGCATCCTCTCCCTTTTCCCCTGGGGTGATACAGTGGCAGAAAAGGCGCTGATGAGGGGGAGTGGTGGACCCTCTGCCCTTCCCTGGGGCAGAGCGGTGAGGATGGGATTTCCCCTTTGTCTTTGCAAAGGAGGTGGGCCCCTTGAGGGAATGGCCCTTCCGAGGGCCTTTTTCTTTTGTCTGGGCACAGAGGAAATCTGGGGTTAGTCTCTGGGGAGCTCACTAAGGGTCCTGCATGTGTGAGGGTTGAGGACATTCTGGTAGAGGTGGAGCTGGAAGAGTGGGATTTCTGGGAACTGGTGGTGGAGGGAAGGAGCTGGTCTGGGAGCTGAGTTGCCATTTTGGAGGTCAGCCTGAGGAGTAGAAAAGAAAACTTTTTTTGTGTGTGTTGAGCGATACTGGGGTTTGAACTCAGGGCCTCCCACTTGGTAGGCGGGCACTCTACTGCGCCACTCCGCCAGCCCTTTTTTGGGTTGGGTATTTTTGAGACAGAGTCTGGCAAACTGTTTGCCTGGATTGACTTCAAATTCCCATCCTCCTGATCTCTGTCTCCTGAGTAGCTAGATTACAGAAATGAGCCACCAGAGCCCTGCTAAGAAAAGGTGTTTGTATAGAAGGGGATGTTGAGACTGTTGTGTAGAGGTTCATATATGAAAACTGAGGCTTCTGACATCAGAGTGGATTCTATCTTTTATGCAGGCTAATGAAGCTGGAATCCACCTGTGGCATAGCACCTCAGAGGTCCCTAAATTGGAAAAGGAGGCTTCTCCAGGTGTGGCGCCCACCTTCAAACCCAGCTACAGGAGACTTGGGCCAATTCCAGTTCCAGATCAGCACCTCTGGGGGCTCAGGCAGGACCTGAGACTAAGGTTAAACAAGTCCTTGGGGGCCAACCCTAGGTTCAGTTGGGGACCTGGGGCAGAGATCGAACTGTTCGACTTTGTGGTTGCCACTGAGTTTGTGATAGCCAGGGAAGAGTGAAGAGGCACTGACCATCTCAGGGGGCATCAATAGTGGCCTCCACTTCCTCTGAACCCTACCACAACTGGCTCGGGGATCACTAGAGCAATTCAGCACATCGGAGGCTTAGCGAGAGCTGGGGAAAGGGGTCCAGGCTCAAACCCAGCCAGGTTTGGGAGCTTGGACCTTAGGAAGGAGAGGGAGCGAGCCTTCTCCCATCTGGGAATATAGAGCCTGCTTTGGGATAAAAGTGTACGCCTTACGGATCAGAGGCTATATCAGCGAAGGTGGGGCATATGGAGAACTCCAAACAGCGGAGGAACACAAGGGAACAGTGACAGCTACGGTGTTTGGGGATTAATTTGGGAGTTTCTGCAGGCAGAAGCACAAAAAGAGTGAAACAGGCAAGAAGAGGTAGATTAGAGGTGGGACCAGGACCCCGGAGCAGACAGAACTCTTTCTGAGAAATGACCTAGAAGTTGAGAGTAGAGCTAACAGTTGGCTGGGGGAGGACCTAGGAGAAAGTCAGGCGCAGTGGGTTGCCAGCACTGGCCACTAGCTTCTGGTGTGGAGCCAAGGAAAGGGGGCATGGTGCATAATTTAAACGTGGTGCTGGCAGAACTGGATCATCTCAAGAGGCGGAGAGGCCCTGGCAAAAGACTCTTCTGCCAGCTCTGGAACCCGACACCGAAGTGCTGAGGAGAGAGCTCCCTGGGCTGTCCCGCGTCTGACCTGGCAACCTGGGCGGTGACGACAACCCCTGTGCTTGGCGTGAGAGTCCTGTGAGCCAACAGTCCTGGCAGGGGTGGAGGAGGGGAGGGATTCCCTAAAGGCTTCCGTTGGCAGATTGCGGCGGAGTTGGTGAACTTGATCCACGCTGGAAGAGACTGCTGGTGGAAGGGCTGCGCGTGGCGCCCCGGGAGCGCGCCAAGGGCGTGGCTGGGCTGCTGCAGCGCTTCTCAAAGCTGGTCAACGACAACACCTGGGGGTCAAGAAGGCATGGCTCACCCGAGACAACCAGCTGGGCTCCTGGTAGCTGAAGAAATACTGTTTAATCACTAAGCAGGTGAGAAGGACAAGGGAGCGCGCATGGTCAGACTTCCGCTGCGGCATAAGGGCGTCCGTTCGCACGGACTTTCTTTCTCTCTGGGCTCTAACAAATGGAGCAACCTGTACCCTGGCACTCTCAGAGGAAGTCAACTCCAGACTCTCATCGCTTTAGTCACCTCTACATGATCTTGCCTTTCTACAAGGACCCCAAAATCCTACTTTGAGCCTTCGTGCTCTCCCTGGCCCCCTACTGATCTGTCTCCCTCGCTTTCACTTCCGCTTGGAAACTCAGGGACCCACATCCTGGCTCCCTTATCACTCCATACTGATCCCTACCTCTGGCCCATCCCTGCTACCCTCGGTGACCCAGGCTTTTACATACCCCCATCCACCTGGGTCCCTCACAGTGGGTTCTCCTGGAGGGCCTAGGTGGGAATCTGTGGGTATGAATGTGGAGTGAATTTGCAGAGAGGCGTCAGGCTTGCCAGCCCTCTGGCCTCCTGGCACTCCTCCCGCAGGCATCCTTTGGGCTCGATTTAAACGTATCCATTACTGGCCAAGTGAGCAGGGTTTGAGGCTGCAGGCCTCAGGAATCTTCGAACTGCTGTCCATATAGGCAGTGTCTGTGTCAGGCGGAGATGTGACACGCCGCCTGTTGTGGCACTCCGTGCAACGCAACGTGCTTTCATCATCCGGGACTGACAACAACCTGCGCCTCTACTGTCTGCTTAGGGCCTAGAGTGGCATGTGCGACAGGCGCGCGTCCTCGCGTGCTCACGCTGCGCACGCGCTTCTTCTCCATTCTGCTACAGCACCTGGCGCCACCTCAACGTCCACGCGTTCTGCAGCGGCGGCGCTCATGTGCAGAGCCAGCTGCTGTGGCACCTGCAGCGCTGGCCTCAACGTAATGTGCCAGCTCTTCCTGGCGCCCCAGCTTCGGTTCTGTCAGGCTGGCCAGTATCTGCTGGAGGCCAACATCTGAGGCCTGTCTTTCTAGAGGGGAGCAAAAAAGCACTTTAGGCCAGCCCCCTTCCGCAGATCCCCAGCCAGCCACGCCTCTACCATTTCCAAACTCCGCCCCCTGAGATGTAGGTCTCACTCCTACCCTTACCCGGTGTCAGTCCTCGTCTTCCCATTTCTCCTTACCTTTGTCTGCCATCTTGCCTTTAGCACTCCCAAACGCACTTGTCAACGCTGGCATCAGAACTGATGGATTTAGGGGAGCCCTTGCAGTATTATCTACCCTCTCTCCTTCCAAGAGCTGGTCCCTTTAGATCCCTTCTCCAATCTTGGGAGTGGACTCCGAGCTTCTAGGCTTCTCTCTTCTGCCCCCTAGTGGGTGGAAGCCGGCAGAAGTTTGTGCTACGCCCAAGCCCCGGCTGGGAGGGGTGTGTGGCCCAATCCATGATACTCCTCTCCCTCCCTTCTGCCCTTTCTAAAACCTCCGTGCTGGTCCAACGCTCCCCTCCTCACTGCCCCTTCAGTCTTGCGTGCCTGTAGATCTCTGTGTGGTCCCGGCTTCTCTGTCCCTTCATTCTCTTCCTCCCTAGACCTCTCCGACACTTAGCTCCTCAGTGCCCCTATACTGAAACCTCTTCGTCATCGTCCCTGAGTATGAGAGAGAGAGAGAGAGAGAGAGAGAGAAAGAGAGAGAGACCCTGTAAATGAAATACATTTAGAAGCCCCCCTCCTCCAATTTGGGCCTCTGTTTACCTCAGGCAATGTACTTTTTTGAGCATGTCCCTCTGACTGGGGTTTCCTGCAACTTCTCGGGAAGATACTATTTCTCAAGGTCCCTCCCCTAGACCTCCAGTTCACCGGAATTCTGGCTGCAGACTTTGGCAAAGTGGAGGGTAGATTCCTCAGACTAACATATGGGACACCTCTTGGTTCCAACCAGGCTGACATAGTAGGACCAGAATCCTCACCTCCCAGTATTTCTGGACACCGCGCCCTCCCTGTGTATAATATATGCTCTTTGGAATATTTATTTATTTATTTATTTGCAGTACTGGGGCTTGAACGCGGGGCCTACACCTTGAGCCACTCCACCCACCCTCTTTTGTGAAGGGTTTTTTCGAGATAGGGTCTCTCAAACTGTTTGCCTGGGCTGGCTTCAAACCTCGATCCTCCTGATCTCTGCTTCCAGAGTAGCTGGGATTACAGGTGCCCAGCTTACTTATTTATTTATTGGAGACCATCTCTCATAGGTAGTGCAGGCTAGCCTGGAACTCAAGATTCTCCTGCCTCTGTATGGGATTAAAGGAGTGAACCACCATTCCCAGCCTGGACTTTCTATTTAAATTCAAGTAGTAACCTTGTATTTGTACAGCACTGTTTACTATACTGGAGATTCCCCCCATCAGCGTCAGAGGGAGGAAACAGAGAGGCTCAGATAGACTCCAGTGACTTCTGAGTCACTCTCAGTAGCTAGAAGCCAGGCAGGGACTGGAACTCAGGTGTGCCAATCCAGAACATGCCCAGAACCTTGTTGTGTGGTGTTAGCCTGAAAGTCTTGTTGGACAATTTCTGGGGAAATGTTAACCCCAGCACAGGGTCGACTGAGGATGGAATCTAAGATGTGGGCAGTGGAGGGTGTCAAGAGGTGGGAAAAGATGGGCTAAGGACACAGTCACTGCTTCACCATTCTCCCCAGATCCGGGTTTGCTGCTGCATGCTCTGCCTTGGCAGCCTCTTGTACCTGGCCATACTGCCACCTTCCTTGACATTTTCACTATGCTGTATGACAATTAAAGAACCTTTTGCCCACCCTCTATGTGTGTGTTTCACTTCCCAGTGGGGTTGGGATGAGACATTATCTCCCCCCCTCCATTCTCCAGCAGCCTGTATTAGAAAGGATCTCTAAGCCCCGTGGCAATGGGGCTAATGACTTCCTGGGGTGGTGGTGCTGGGGAGGGCTGTGGACACTGGGCGCCCCCACCTCCACCGAGCGAAGGAAAGAAGAGACGGTTTAGAACCAAGCGGGCAGCAGCGCAGCACCCTGACTAGACCCCGGCCGCCCTTTCCCAGGATGTGAGAATTGACTGCTACCCAAATTCTGTGGGTTCGGCTCCCAAGTTCACCCTGGCATCCAGGAACAGCTTCCTTCAGCTCCAGCATCCGTGCGCCTAACTCCTAGGTCTCGACTCGCTTTCCAGCTGCTCTGTTTTCCCCATTCTGGGTGGGCGACGCGTGGTGGGGGAGGCTGAGGAAAGAGCCCTGGCACCGCCCCCCGCTCCCCGGGATCCGAGCTCAGGAGCGGCGGAGACTGCGATCCCGAAAAGTAACACACGGGGGCGCCAAGACGAGTTGCGGACGCGGGCGAGGCAGCGCAAGGTGGTTTCTGTCCATGTGAGTGTGTCCATGGGCGTCTTTGTGTGTCTGTTTTTGTACATGTATGTACAAGTCAGGGGATGTCTGGGAGGGGATGTATTCGGGACAACATGCCAGATGTATCCCAGAACAGATACCCCAAGTGGCTTCTTGAGGAGGGCGATGCTTGCTTGATATGTCACTATGTACGTGTGGATGGAGAGGCAGGAGACTTGTGTGTATTGTCGCATGTGTACGGTGCAGACTGTGAGTCCCTGAAACGGCGTCTTGGATTTTCGAAGTCGCATTCCTTGAGGGTTTGACCGCCCCACCACCACTCTGAGAAATGAATGAGGACTCTCAATGCAGTTCTTCATTGCCTTGGATACATCCTTATCATAAGTCTGGGTGACTGTGCTTAAGCTAGCTGTGACATTGTGTTTGTTAAGTGGGTGTGTCTCAGAATCTTAGTTTAACTCTATGATAGTGTGTTGTGTGTGTGACAGGTGGATTTGGCGAGGGTTGGGTAAGGATTCTGGAAGTGTACAATACTCTTTCTCTTGTTAGTTTGTGTACACCACGTTCATGGTGTGTGTATGGGTGTGTTTGTGTGTGTGTGTGTTTCTTTCTCAATCTCTCCAGTGGCTGTCTCTCTGTGTATCTCTCCCCATTTCTGTCTCTTTTTTCTCTTTGCTTTTCTTGGTGACTCATCTCTGCGGCATTGCCCTCCCTTGGCTTCTGGGTCTCCCTTCCCCCACTCAGGAGTGGGTGAGGGTCTGACGGAATGGGACCCCAGGGCTAAAAATCAGGGTGAGCATCCTCTCTCACCACTCAAACTCCTGGACCCTCCAGTAGCTCCCGTCCCTCTCTCCAGTCTGTTTTTCAGGACTCCCATTTCCAGGTTCAGGTTGGCTAGGGAGTAGGGCAATTATGAGTACTAATTGGGGTCATTTTCAGGGGTCTTCAGCCCTTCTTTCAGTTCAAAGTGGAGACCCCCTACCCCTCTCATAAATTGCCCCCTCCCTGCCTGTCCCTCACTATGGCTGACGCAATAAATGAATGGCTGCAGAGGTGAGTCACCGGTTGGGGGAGGGGAAGCAGAAGTAGGGGACGGTGAGCTGCAGGGGACCCCAAGTCCCTGCCCTTTCTTTCTCTCCCACACCTTCTCAAAGAAATTAACCAATGCTGTTCCCCCCTCCCCTGGTTTTTCCAAGCCTTCTACTTGGGTCACTCCCTTGCTGGACCCCATCTTCTCCTGCCACTCTCCTGGAGAGCATGGGAGATCCAGAAACAAAGGCAAAGAGAGATGGATTCATTCATATAAGCAACTCAGCAAACACCAGATGTTCCCTCCAGGTCCCCATCTTAGCTCTGCTTTTTCCAGCTGCATATCCATTTCTCTTTCTTTCTTGTCATCTCCCTCCTCTTCCCCATCCCAGGTCTCTTCCAGAAGCCCCTAGAGACAACAGGGTATAAAGGGCACAACCCATCCTGGTGGAGGTATGTGTGAACGAACTGACTCAGGTAGGAAACAGGTAGAGAGAGCAGAAACAGACCCAGGGTCCTGAAACCATGCAAGACTTAGATTATGGAATCACTAAGCCTGTTGTCTTTGGCAGCAGGGCTTCCACCATCTCCCCCCCCCTCCCCCGCCCAGCCACCCAATGACTGAGACTTTTGAGATATGGATTTCTAAGAAGCTCCCTGGACATCCTAATAAGTGGAAGGACTGGGGATAAGAAGTTGGGGGGAGTGGGGAATGGTGAATAATCTGAAAATCAGGAGCAAGGACCCAGAATTTGGGGGATCTAGATGAGTAGCTTGGATTCTGAGGCTTTTTCACACAGAGATCTAGAAGCTGAATGTGGGGAGGGGCCTGAAAGATCAAGGCACATAGAAGTGCACACAACTACTAATGTATACTATTAGTAGTTCTGTTCTGTAGGCACAGAAGGACCCAGACAAATGCCCACACACAAATGTATACACATTACATTATTGTGTATCACCAAGCCAGGCATGCTTTTCAGACACCAGCAGATACCCAGAACTGAGTGCACTCAAAAGACTCAAAACTGCGCAGGTATACATTCAGAAGAGATCAGAACCCACACAGACACCTGGAAACAGGCATAAACACAGTCATAGACTGGAAGAGAAGATCCCTTATTTAAAATTGGACACACTACCATGCCCATCCTCTCTCAATCTGGATAAATATACAATTGGTTTCCACATTCTCTTTCTTTTTCTTCTGTGGGTCTCCATCTCTATATGCATACAAGCACACATTCACAAGCATGTACATGCACAAATGGTTGCCTGTGCATACACAAGCCTACCGGTATAAAGTTTCTCTAGATGCTTGTCTCCCCTCATCTGGCACTTGAACTCCTATCTGTCAGTCAGCCCCCTTGACTCCCTCCCTTCCCCTTCCCTTCACTCTCGGATGGCTTCCCCTCCCCCTCTCCAGATGTCTAAGCCATCACTCTCTGATTCATCCTCCTCAGAAAGGTAATGTGACCCCCTCCTCATCCCACTGTTCCCCGGTAAACAGGCTGAGAAGATGAAGGGGAGATGGTGGGGGGAGAAGGGAGTGAGGGAAATTTTGAGGGGAAGGGAGGAGGCTGGATAGTTGTGTGGGGGGTGTGAGGCACTGCCTCTAGGGTC